CCATACGGTGCTACATGGCATTTCTCAATGATTTGCAACCCTTCCGTCGTTGGTACACATCTCCTTAACAGGCCGTCAAAGCATACCTTGTACAAGTATGGGTCATCCCAAAGGTGTCGTCTACTTTCGGCTTACAGTTTTTTTTTGTTTTTCCCTGGTGGTACGTATCCTCAAACCATGAATTTCATGATATTTGCATACCATGGGTTTGAATCCGTCACCTTTAGTAGCATGTCGTCGCATAGGAAGTCATTTATTGGAAGTTTTTATATGTTAGTGACCTGCATACGCGACAAATGATCTGCAACGGTGTTCTCTACTCCATTTTTATCTTTTATTTCAAGGTCAAATTCTTGGAGTACAAACGATAACTTTCTTAGTGAGCAAGTATTTAAGTGCAGCATGATCAGTATAAACGATAACTTTTGCACCCGCTAAGTAAGACCTAAACTTATCGATAGCAAAAACAGCTGCTAAGAGCTCTTTTTTGTGGTAGCATAGTTAAGTTGAGCTCCTGTCAGCGTTTTGCTAGCATATGCGATTGCATGATGCTTCTTATCTTTAGTTTGGCCAAGGACCGCACCAATAGCATAGTCACTAGCATCACACATGATCTCAAACGACAGCGACCAATCCTGTGGTTAGATGATTGGTGCTGAGATGTGTGCTTTCTTGAGAGTGTGGAAAGCATCTAAGCAATCATCTATGAACTCAAAAGGTGCATCCTTAGCTAACAGGTTCGTGAGGGGTCTAGCGATTTGTGAAAAATCTTTGATTAACCGCCTATAGAACCCTGCATGACCTAGGAAGCTGTGGATTCCTTTCACGTTCACAGGGGGTGGTAGTTGCTCGATAACCTTGATTTTTTTCTTGTCTACCTCAATCCCCCTCTTGGACACAAGGTGCCCGAGAACGATGCCCTCATGGACCATGAAGTGGCACTTTTCCCAGTTAAGTACCAGGTCCTTCTCTTGGCATCGTTGCAAGACTTTGTCTAGATTCTCCAAACAGTGATCAAAGGTTTTGCCACAGACCGAAAAGTCGTCCATCAACACCTCCATGATTTCTTCTATCATGACTAAGAAAATGCACATCATGCACCGTTGGAATGAAGCGGGTGCATTACACAACCCGAATGACATTCTGTGATAAGCGTACGTTCCATACGAGCATGTGAAAGTCGTCTTGCTTTGATCATCGAGGTGGATGGGAATCTAATGATACCCCGAATACCCATCATAGAAACAGAAGAAAGAATGCTTCGCCAACCGCTCTAACATTTCAACAATGAAAGGTAGTGAGAAGTGGTCTTTCTTGGTTGCCGCATTGAGTTTCCGGTAATCAATACACATTCTTCGCCCCGTGACAGTTCATTGTGGAATTAACTCGTTTTTGTTATTTTCTATGGCCATCATTCCTCCTTTCTTTGGAACCACTTGGACGGGGCTAACCCAGCCACTATGTGATAAAGAATAGATTATCTCGACGTGAAGAAGTTTGAGAACTTCCTTCTTCACGACTTCTCACATCGCATTATTGAGCCTACGCTGAGGCTCTCGAGATGGTGTACTCGAAAGATCAATCGGAATGTGATGGGTACAGAGAGTTGGGCTAATCCCCTTGAGATCTTGTAGGGAATACCTAAAAACTGACCTATGTTTCTCTAAGATGACGATGAGTTTGGATGTCTCCTCATCAGACAGCTTATCACTAATGATGATAGGAGTTTCTTTATCTCCATTCAAGAAAGCATAACGTAGGCCAGCGGGTAGGGGTTTTAGCTCAACCGGAGATCATGCCGGTGCTTCCTCTTGGGGAAGGTCAATGGTTTCTCCTAAGTCGTCCTCTTCTTCTACAAAGAGTTTCACATCCTTTTCTAGGGACGATTTAGGAGAATCAAAGGGCAAGACCGACATGACTTCCTTGGGCCGTTTTGGATCAGAGAGAGATTCTGCCATCGAGTTTTTAGATCGAGTGATAGAAATAGAAAAAGTGTCTCTCCCCAACTTTACGCTCAGATCCCCTGATGATGGTGGTTCTATAAAGAGCTTTTCTAGGGGATGCCCTATCATGATGTCAAAATCCTGAATGTTAAAGACATGGAAGTAGAGAGCCATTACGGCATCATCGTGATGAATTGTGGTATTGTGCATAATTCCATGTCCTTTTAGGATAGACCATGGTTTATCTCTAAAAGTTGTGTTTGTCGGAGCAAGGGGTTCATTGCCAAAATAGGAAGATGCAAAAGATGTAGACATCAAATTTGCTCCAACAGTGGGTGAGTAAAGCACATCCACCATTGTTCCAAGAACCTTGCATCGGATGGTTGAAGGAGGGACGTGAATCTGAATTTCTATAGAAGAACACTCTACCTCTTCCACCCATTCAATGCTCATGATAGCAGTCAACTCCTTGATTGATTCTCTAAGGGATTCTTCGTCTAAAGGTTCATGAGGAGTGACAAAAACTAGTGGTTTCTTTTGACATGAGTATTTCGAGGTGTTTCCGAAATCATTGAAAAAGTCATCCTCGAAGTACAGAAGGTCCGAAGGTTGGAAACCTTCCTTCGGATCTTCTGGTTTGGGCGAGGGTTTCTCTAAAGGTGCGGGTTCGGCCTTAGTCGAAGAGACTTCCTCGTGAAATTGCTCTAGTTCTATTCGGAGGGATTCTAGCGGGGGAGTGTTCTCTAGAATGTGGTCTAGGAGAGCTTCTCCTTCCGCCGTGGTTTTGTGGGTGAAAGAACCTTCAGCAGCTATATCGAGCTGTAGGGCAGACTCCTTGCTAAGTCCTAGCCAAAAATGTTGTAATAGCACATGGCTTGGTATAGAAAAGTCTGGGCCGGACCTTGTTAGGATTGAAAAATGGTCCCAGGCTGCTCCTATGGTTTCCTTCTCTTTTTGTTGAAAGTTAAGGATCTCTTGTCGTAGGGCAGCGATTCAGGATATAGGGCATAACGCAAGACAGAATATGTTCCTTAGTTCTTCCCAATCGCTAGCTACCTTCCCTACATTGTGGGCATATCATTATTTCGCCCTCTCATCAAGTGAGAAAGGAAACAACTTCCACCGAAGAGTTTCTTGTGACATACCCGAGATGGTCGGGCAAGCACAGAGCTGCTCAAACTCCCTTAGGTGATGGTAGGGGTTTTCATAATCTAACCCCAAGAAGGTATGTTCCTAAACCATGGCTATGAAGCTAGGGCGGAGTTCGTAACTAGAAGCTGCGATTGGCTTCGATTGCAAGTATTTTTTCTGGATGTTGCATATGATTCACACGCATGTTGCAAGTGTTTTATCTCTATGTTGCATATGTTTCACACATATATTGCATAATATGTTTCATGTCAGACGTGTGTTGCATTTAAGTGTTTCATGTTGCAAGTGTTTCACGGGGCATGGTAAGTGATGGGCGCGCATCTCGGGGCCGAGGGATGGGGCGCGGCGAGCTAGGGGCCGGCGGACGGGGACGCAGCGAGCCGGGGGCCGACTCTCGGGTCCCGCCCACATGGAGAGTGATGAGGGGGTCAGGGGAAGGAGCTGGCCGCAGCGACGGAGGCAGGATGCGCATGCGAGGAGGGTGCAGGGTGTGTGGCCGTCCGGACGCGAGGAGCGGCGGGCGCAGTGTCGAGGGCGGGGTGCACATGCAAGTCGGAGCGAGACGTACGGAGGCAGGTTGTGCGGACGTTCGGATGCACGCGTCTATATAGACGTCCAGACGCTAGCCACACTTTTTTTTTCAACAATCTTATGCCCTTTTTCGTTAAGCGGATATTTGTTTCTAGAGGACAGTAGGACACAGACAAGAGTACGTGCAGCTGAAGGCTGACTACAACTGTATGCGCGCACTCGCCTTCTTCAAACAAGTAGTAGTGCTGCTGACCTAGGTTCTGATGTCACCCGTGATTGCGAGTCCAAGATCCAAGCGCACCATTTTTACATACCGAGAATGAATCAACAAATACTCCGCAAGCAGGCAACCAGCTTCCTCTGTCCTTCCAACGTTTCGACAAAAGACTGCTAATATACTACGTGCGCGTGCTGGTTTATCTACTTCAAGTACAATACGCTGTGAACTTGAAGTGTTCGCACGTTTCGTATAATTTTAATAATGAAACTGAAACGTGATGAGACTATCTAATGACAGAGTAAATTAAACTAAACATTTGAGACGGCTTGGTCTTCCAGAAACAGCAAGGGCTACGCGGCTTCTTCATCACTCTCCTGCAACAACCGTTCACAAGCTGCTGGTGCACATCCAGACAAAGAATCAGTGACATCATCACTGATCTCATCTCACCAGACAAACCCGCGGGTGCCGTGCCCGGTGCCCACCAGGCCACCACCAATTTGCTCGGCGACTAGAACGTCAAAGGTCAAACCCACAAACACGGTATAAATAGCAGGAGACTCCACCAGCCTCAGCATTCATTCATTCGACACAAACAACCTCTCCTCCGATCCAAGTGTCAGCGGCAAAACCAGCTTTCTTTCAATTTCAACCCAGCGAGAAAACCAAGCGGTCTAGTAGAAGATTTCCTACTCTGCCGTACGTGCAGATCTGACTGAGAGGCAGCAGCTCGTCAAAGAGAGGCAGTGACCGCGAGCCATGGGAGTGGCCTGGATGGTGGCGGCGGCCGTCGCGGCGGTGCTGGCGTCGTGGGCGTTCAACGCGCTGGTGCACCTCGTCTGGCGCCCCTACGCCATCACCCGGAGGTTCCGCGCGCAGGGCGTGCGCGGCCCGGAGTACAGGTTCTTCACCGGGAGCCTCGGCGAGATCAAGCGGCTCCGCGGCGAGGGCGCCGCCGTCACGCTGGACGTCGACGACCATGACTTCATTCCCATGGTGCAGCCGCACGCTCCGCAAGTGGATCGCGCTCTACGGTACGTGATGCGTCCATCGATCGCTAGCTAGTTGGCGCCCTGCTTCGACGCGACGCGACGCTCGAGGCTCCATCGATCACGTTGCATCAGCCGCTGACGGTCTTGTTTCTTCTGCTTCAGGGCGGACCTTCGTGTACTGGACCGGCGCGAGGCCGAACGTGTGCGTGGCGGACGTCAACGTGGTCAGGCAGGTGCTCTTCGACCGCAACGGCCTCTACCCCAAGAACCTCATGAACCCGCACATCTCCCGCCTGCTCGGCAAGGGCCTCGTCCTCACCGACGGCGACGACTGGAAGCGCCACCGCAAGGTCGTGCACCCGGCCTTCAACATGGACAAGCTCAAGATGATGACGGTCACCATGTCCGACTGTGCTCGCTCCATGATGTCCGAGTGGGAGTCACAGCTCGCGAAGGGCGGTGAAGTGGAGATCGAGCTGAGCAGCCGGTTTGAGGAGCTCACCGCCGACGTGATCTCGCACACGGCGTTCGGGAGCAGCTACGACGAGGGGAAACGGGTCTTCCTGGCGCAGAGGGAGCTCCAGTACCTGGCCTTCTCCACTTTTTTCAACGTCCAGATCCCAGCCCTCAAGTACCTCCCAACCGAGAAGAACCTCCGGACATGGAAGCTGGACAAGCAGGTGAGGGGCATGCTCATGGACATCATAAAGACCCGCCTCGCCAACAAGGACACCGCCGGCTACGGGAACGACCTGCTAGGGGCTCATGCTGGAGGCGTGCGCGCCGGAGCACGGCGAGACGCCGATGCTGAGCATGGACGAGATCATCGACGAGTGCAAGACCTTCTTCTTCGCCGGGCACGACACCACGTCGCACCTGCTCACATGGGCCTCGTTCCTTCTAAGCACGCACCCGGAGTGGCAGGACAGGCTCCGGGAGGAGGAGGTGCGGCGGGAGTGCGGCGACGAGGTCCCCACCGGCGACGCGCTCAACAAGTTGAAGCTAGTCAACATGTTCCTCCTGGAGACTCTGCGGCTGTACGGCCCGGTGTCCCTGATCCAGAGGAAGGCAGGATCAGATCTCGACCTCGGCGGCGTCAGGGTACCCGAGGGCGCGATCCTGACCATTCCAATCGCGACGATCCACCGTGACAAGGAGGTCTGGGGCGACGACGCCGGCGAGTTCAAGCCGGAGAGGTTCGAGAACGGGGTGACAAGGGCGGCCAAGTACCCCAATGCGCTGCTGTCCTTCTCCAGCGGGCCAAGGTCGTGCATCGGTCAGAACTTCGCAATGATCGAGGCAAAGGCCGTGGTCGCCATGATCTTGCAGAGGTTTGCCCTCGAGCTGTCCCCAAATACGTCCACGCGCCCATGGACGTGATCACCCTGCGCCCAAGGCACGGGCTCCCCATGCTCCTCAAGCGCTTGTAGGTTTCATGGTGCGTGCCAGATGTGACAGGATGTCGGTTATATTTCCTTTCTTTTGCTACTTATATCTATGTATCCTACATAATGTATGTCCTATTCTTCTTTTTTTTTTTTTGCTTGGTGCCTGATATACTCCAATTCCACCATATATGTACATGTTTAGCTAGATTATTACTTGGATTGAACAATCTTAATTCAGAATTTCCCATGCACCAATGATCCAAGTATCTTAATCTTAACATAGGATGTTCTTTGAAAAAAGAGTAATCATATAAAATCTCATAATAAACAAAACAATTTAGCCATTAATTTGGTAGACTTTATCACCATTATTGCTGATAATAATCATTGGATCTTTATAATATATCCAATAATAATATGCCGTCATGAAAATATATAAATTCACCTCTAAGTCTACAACTAAAATTATCTACCTCTGTCATTATAAGAGATAATTTAAAGTAACCTTTCTAAATTTGCATATAAATTACCAACCTCGACTATTATGAAAGATATACAGCGTGATACCTAAATTTGCAATTAATTTACCCACCTCTAGTCTAGCATACTGTAAAAGATAATACTAAGTACCTTGTAACACATATCTAAATTATCCATCTCTGACACTATAAAATATAAACTAAATTATTCCTAAAATCTAATTTTAAATTAAAAATAGATTTTGACATATAAGATAACTAAATAAACATAAATTAAGTTATATATGTTTCTAAACTACTCAATTATGTTACTGTTGTTGTCCTTGACCGAAGTGTTGGATCAATATAGAGTGAGGATTTAGGCAAATGCTAATGAATGGATTTTTTTTTGTAATATGGAATATTGTGTCTACTTTATTTTAGGGGGGACTATTTATATGTCCAAGTTACAATTGATGGACCAAAATGCCCACCCAATGGCTAAATTCTAAGCACATTCCTAGCTGGTAATGTAGAGGCAGTTTGGTCCTTTCATCCTAAATCCATACACGAAACAACTCAGAAATATATATTTTTATAAACTAAATTATTCATACAATAGCGAGAAATATATATTTTTATAATTTGTCAATTGTGAAAATATTCTTTTGAAAAAACACATAGCAACAACATTTACAATTATTTTAAATTATATCAATACTCCAATGTTAATAAACTTTATAAGTCATATTTTGGATAAGTTTATGCATTTTGACTAAAATATTATGACACATCAATGATGTGTTTTAATTGTAAAATACTCCATCTTTTATAAAATAACACTGCTATGCATATAATTTGTTGATAAAGGTAATTAAACATCTTGAGAGTCATGGTTCATGCCAAAATGCTATTTATGCTACTATAGTAACTAAGAGTATAGTCGAGGACCTAGATCTATTTTAAATAAATATAAAATGAAAAATCTAAATAAAGATTGAATGAGCATAAGAGGTCATGAAAAATCTAAATAAAAGATTGAATGAACATGTGAATTAGAGGTCATGTGTTTATATTTGAGATACATGTTTTTATGCTCGTACTAGTGCCTCTTGCACATTCCTGGCTAAGTTTGATCATATGATCCTTATGCAATCGATCCCTATTGGCATATAAGAGGAGAATTTCTCGATAAGAAAGATGATGGAGTTGACTACTGTGAAGTTCTTGACGAACTCGATTGAGGAGAGTTTAAGGAGCTCATCTAATACCTATGCTGAAACTCTCATCATGAAGATGCTTACCTCATGCTATGATAGGCAAGTGGAATTAGGGAGCACATTATGAGCATATGCGATATGGGTGCTGAGCAGAAGCCACTTCGAGCTTTCCATTTCTAAAGGCTTCCTTGTGCACTTCATTATGACTTGGCTAGCAGTTCAGTACAACCCCTTCAAAGTCAGCTACAACACCCAAAAGGGAAAGTGAGCATTCTAGAAATTTGTAAGATAATGTGCATAATAGGAGGAAAGGAAGAAGGTTGAGAAGAAAGACATGGCTAACTTTGTTGGTTTTTGCAAGGGTAGTAGCAAGCAACCTAAGAAGAACTCCAAGCTAGTGAAGCAGAGTCCAGTAAGAAGTAAGAACAATGGTAAGAATCATGTTTGGAATACTAATGTCTGTTAAGTCTACAATTTCTACAAGTCACCTGAGCATATGCCAAATAATTATGCTGGATTTGTGGAGTTGCATCATTTATTGACGAATCATTCTTAGCTAATTTCCCCCAAAATATTTGGTGGATTGAGACAGATATCACTATGCACATTTTCAATTCATTATAGGTAATCAATTTAGTGAGAATTTAAGAAACGAAGTCTTAGAGTTGTTGGTGGGAATGAAGTCAGTGGCTTGAAATCTTGAGGCGTTGTTCTTTGTGTTCCTATTTTAAAGATACACATTATTTATGTTTTTGCATTAGTTTACATCATGCACCAAGCAATAATAAATGGGCATATATTATCAAGGCTACATGTATAGAATAAAAAAGAAATATTAGTATATTATAAACTAATACAAGGCTGAAATGGATCTCCCAACTCATCAATGAGTTACACATGGAATGCAAGGAGGAAGTAATTAAATATATTTCAGGGCACATGATGCTAAGGAAGTGCTTAATCTTAGGTTGCTATCCATGGCGTCTTTGGATGTTATGGCCTGATATTATGAGGGCTCTAGCATCTACTCTTCGAGGAGCGCTTACATACTAGCAAAGAGATTAATTGAGGAGAACAGTGGCCGACAATCTTCTTCATCATCCACAGAGGGGCTCTCGATGTGGTCTGCCTACTGGAGAATCCCAATCCCGCACAAAATCCTTATATTCAGCAGGATAGTTATAATGGCTTAGCTACACAAGTGAACAAAAAAGGGCGCCAAATCATCGCCAATGATTCATGCGAGATACGTGTACGTGGAAGTGAATCTACTATGCATGCTCTAGTAGTAAGATGTAGTTATGCTAGAGCTCTGTGGGATGCTGTGAGGGAGTTTTGGTTTTTGTCGGACGAACTACAGTGCGTAGATTATGCTCCGGATGACAGCAAAATTTGGCAGCCAGAGCCGAATGCATGCGCCAACACATGTCCTCATATCTCTATCACTGGACGTGGCAAAATGGCTCATCCTCCTATGGTGTACCTGGCAGGTAAGAAATACCACTCATAATAGCGTAAAATTCACATGTCTGTACCCATATTTTTTTGAAGCAGTATTGGTTGGAACTGTGTGATGTAAAGCATCACCAAGGAATCTCTCATCATAATGGCAAGCAGCCATTGGTGGATTCCCTTACAAGTGGACGTTCTGAAAATAGTCCGGAGAAGGCAGAAATTCTTGTATGGAGGAAAGGCATCACTCTAGCGGGGGAATGGTGTCAACAACACGTTCTAGAGACCGACTGCGTCGCAATGGCTGACTTACTATAGAGAGAGGGAAGCCACAAGTCTACTTCACCATCGTGGAGATCTAGCTAGGAGCTAGGAGAAAAATTATCTTAGTGGAAGGTGATCGATACGAAAAGAGAGTGTAAGGCCTCGTTTAGTTGCACCAAGTTTGCACCTCCAAAAAGCAAAAGGTGCAAGATTCCCCATCACATCACATCATATCAAATCTTTGATATATGTATGGAGTATTAAATGTAGGTAAAAAAATAACTAATTACATAGTTTGTTTTAACTTTGCGAGACGAATTTTTTGAGCCTAATTAGTCAATGTTTGGACAATAATTCAAAAATACAAACGAAATGCTACAGAAAACTCATAACTTCCAAAACTCCCAACTTTGGGCAACTAAACGAGGCCTAATTGTGCAGCCCACAAGCTCGCACAAACGACAAATGAAATAGGCATGCAACTATCTGGCGTTTTAGTGTACCAGCGTGTGTTGAGCAAATTGTTGCTCGGGATTATATAAACATTATTATTAATGTCGAGTATAATACATAACTTTCTTTTCCTCAAAAAGAAAAAAAAAGAATACAAATCTGTCACATCTGGCGCGCTCCATGAAACCTACAAGCGCCTGAGGAGCATTGGGAGCCCATGTCTGGGCCGCAGGGTGATCACGTCCATAGGCGAGTGGACGTATCTGGGGGACAGCTTGAGCACAAACCTCTGTAGAATCATGGCGACCACGGCCTTAGCCTCGATCATCGCAAAGTTCTGCCCAATGCACGATCTCGGTCCAACGGAGAATGACAGCAGCGCATTGGGGTGCTTCCCCGCTCTCGTCACCCCGTTCTGGAACCTCTCCGGCTTGAACTCACCGGCGTCCTCGCCCCAGACCTCCTTGTCGCGGTGGATCGTCGCGATAGGGATCGTGAAGATAGCGCCCTCAGGTACGCGGACGCCGCCGAGGTCGAGGTCCGATCCCGCCTTCCTCTGGATCACGGACACCGGGCCGTACAGCCGCAGCGTCTCCAGGAGGAACATGTTCACCAAAGCGAGCTTGTTGAGCGCGTCGCCGGTGGGGACCTCGTCGCCGCACTCCCGCCGCACCTCCTCCCGGAGCCTGTCCTGCCACTCCGGGTGCGTGCTCAGAAGGAACGCGGCCCAGGTAAGCAGGTGGGAGGTGGTGTCGTGCCCGGCGAAGAAGAATGTCTTGCACTCGTCGATGATCTCGTCCATGCTCAGCACCGGCGTCTCGCCGTGCTCCGGCGCGCACGCCTCCAGCATGAGCCCGAGCAGGTCGTTCCCGTAGCCGGCGGTGTCCTTGCTGGCGAGGCGGGCCTTGATGATGTCCATGAGCATGCCCCGCACCTGCTTGTCCAGCTTCCACGTCATGCGGTTCTTCTCAGTTGGGAGGTACCTGAACACTGGGATCTGGACGTTGAAAAAAGTGGAGAAGGCCAGGAACTGGAGCTCCCTCTGCGCCAGGAAGACCCGTTTCCCCTCCTCGTAGCTGCTCCCGAACGCCGTGTGCGAGATCACGTCGGCGGTGAGCTCCTCGAACTGGCTGCTCAGCTCGACC